TATGTCTCAAAGAAGTCGATGCCAGCGATTTGTTGGAAGCCTTTGGCGACTAAGCGGGCTTTCCACTTGATGACCTCCCCCTCAGTGTTATATTTGACCGCGTAGACCCACTTGCTGTCTACGACGTTCGCACCAGAAGGTTTGTCAACAAGAACCCAGGTTTCGCGACCAACCAATGACGCATACTCCTTTTGCATCGGTTCCATCCAGACTTCTGGGTGCTCCATAGCCTCCCCGTAGCTCTGAGGAACCGGTGCAGACTGAATATTGAAGGCAACATTTGCCCGTGTCTTCTTTGGCTTGCCGGATCCCATGGCCCATGGCTCGCGCGCCGCCCTCGCAGCTGCCTCATCAGCCTGTGATGCGCGCGAGTCTTGGAGCGCCGAAGTTGGCACATGTGTGCGTCCGGAGCGTCGCAGGGGTGCGACCGTCATTACGTCAGGTACATAAGATTCAGATGCAGTGTCACCAGCGTCGGTCTTGCTTGTATCCGGAGTGTCAGATCCAGCAATAGCAGGAGTAATTGAAGCGTGTGGAGCAGGATCCCCAGCCACATCTATATCTCCCCCTGCTGGGGTGCGTGACCAGTGGCCAACTCCTTCTTCAAAGACGACGTCACGAGCGAAGAAGAAACGACGATCCTGTGGGTCCCACAAATGATAGCCGGCGGACGCATTATAGCCGACCATCACTGCTTTAACCGTACGCGATGTCAGCTTGGCAGGCGCAGGGATCACTTTCGCATAAGCGATTGATCCGAATACTCGTAAGTGCGAGACGTCAGGTTTCTTCCCATAATACATCTCATGCGGTGTCCGACCCCCAGCTCGAGTCTTTGGATGGAACCACTGCAGGTATGAGGCACATTTGAATGCAAGAGGCCAGAAAGATTTTGGTAGGTTAGAATCGGCAAGAAGGCAACGGCCAAATTCGACTGTCGTACGAATGCCGCGCTCACCCACACCGTTCTGGGCGGATGAGTGGGGGGTAGTAGTCTCCAGAACAATACCTTCCATTTTCAGGTATGTCTCCCACTTCTCGTTTATCCATTCCCCGCCGTTGTCAGATCGCAAGCGCTTGATCTTGTGTCCCGTCTGGGTCTCAAACTCCGCTTTATAGGCCTTGAATGACTTCAGTGTCTCATCTGCAGATTTGGTTGAGAGGAAATCGACTCGCGGACCCGCAATGTGCCCATCGAGTAAATGGTAAAGCCAGTTTTTCCCTCCCACTCCAGTGATCTGTGCCAGACCCCACAAGTCCATGTAGACACGCTCACCAGGCACTGTCTCTGCCTCGTGGACGCCATCAAAAGGTCGACGAGTCTGCTTGCCCACTAGGCAATCCTCACAGAACCCTTCATCCACATCGCCAGCAACAATGGCTCCATCAACAAGGTCCCCAGCCAACAGCGCATCTAAAGTGGTCATCCCCACGTGGGCGAAACGACGGTGCCAGGTATGTTTGGATACTGGTACACTGCGCGACCGCGCCGCTAGTGTGTTTACACTGGCGTGGTCGAGTTCTAGGACATACATCCCGGAGATAAGTCGTCCTTCCATTATGTCCTTCCCTGTGCTTGTCTGGATAATGCTTTTTCCAGGGCGGAATATGACGGTGAAACCCTTCTCCACAAGTTTGGAGATGGAGATGAGGTTCGAGGTACCCGGGGTGTGCAGCGCCTCGAATGACACATCACAGTTACCACCTCGATAGGCATATGACTTGCGCACGATACCGGCGCCTGCAATACGGAATTTCGATCCATCGACCCCCGTCCCAGTTCGGTTTTCAAAAGCACGGTAGTCCTTGAAGTTGTTGCGATCCGAAAAACAATGGTCAGTCGCTCCGGAATCCAGGAATGCAATTGTATGGCTCCCAGTCCCCGATATAAATGAGTTGACAGAGGCTCCACCAGTGTTGACTGCGTACACCACATTATCGGGATCGCTGTTGGATGAAGATAAATTCCCCATGTCGTATGAATCGGTAAGTGAAGTTGTGGATCCAATGATCTTGAAGGTAGTACCAGCAGACGAAGTTCCATCAGGATAGAAAACACTGTTTTGCAGATCCGCGCTTGTGGGGATATCGATCTTCATAACCGCATCGGTAACTTCGTTCCAGTCCATCAAAGCTGCCGGCGACGCGACTATGTCCTCGCCTCGAAACCTCACATTTTGCGCTCCATCCGTATCGTAAGGACTGATAGCTGCAGCAGGTAGCGTCCATGCCGCAAATGCATAATTTGGTGTTGTGTTTGCCAAGTTTGCTCCCGTTGCCCTCTTCCCTCGCCACCAGGCCGGCCACTGACCTTCCTTTCCTCCCCCAGGCCAAAAACACTCGTCAATGGTGTGGCCTTTCTTCCCAGTCGCTCCACAAGTTGCGTTGGTGCACACAAGGTTCTTGCGCGCTGCGCGGCGAGCATCGCGTGCTGCATTTTGAACTGTGTTGGTTGTGAGAGCTGTGGTAGGGATTGGGGGATTTAGTCGTGCATTCATTTCTGCCTCTTCGAGAACGAAATTGATTACTTCGGCCGATGTTAGGAAGGTGCAGAGGACTGGTACAACGTGTCGCCAATCCTCGTTTAGGGAAGTCATGAATGTTGTGCGGAACTGGGTGTCATTTATGCCAGCCCCCATCTCGTTTGCGGCAACCCACAGACGTCGCATTGTTGTAACATGCTCTGGCATCGAAGCACTAGTTGCGAGGTATGTGGTGTTCAACTCGCGTACCGCACGGCTGAGACCAAGGTCAGTAACACGTCCATAGACGTTCTCGAGTGATGTCCAGGCCTCGCGTGCGGTGCCATCGGTCTTCAGGCCAACGCCGACAGGGTCTTGCACATTTAGCAAAAGCAAGCTTGTTGCAAGAGAGTCGCGGTGAGACCACTCCTCAAGCGATGGATTCAGTGAAAAAATAGGAGTAGGGTCGGGTGGAAGAGGGGTAGTGGTGGCCGTTCCAGTCGGCGCAGGGGGGCCAGTAGGTTTGGCAATAGCGCCACTGTAGTATCCGTATAATCCACGGAGAGTTGACTGAGCAGTCATCTTAGACTTCCAAGTCGGCCACTTCGTGCCATCGAACTTCTCGGCATCGGGAAGAATCGGCACATTGGGTAAGGATGAAGTCATGTCGGGTAGCACAATATATGCAGGTCTTTGAGCCAAACAATAGGTTAATTGTCCAAAGCTGAGTGAGTTGTATATTTAGGCGCAAGCGGGGCCCATAACCTGAAGTAATAACAACTCAGTCAAGGTAGAATTGACTTTATTGTTAGACTCTACCTGAAGTAATAACAACTACAAGTGAGATATAAGCATTGTGAAAGTAAGTCAGATAAGTAAAGCTCACCTCAGTCAAGGTAGAATTGACTGAGGTGAGTATGTAGGCAGCCCAGTATTTATAGGTAAAAAGAGGCTGAGTCATCACATAGAGAGTGGGTCACAAGACGTAGAGTGAGTCAGAAGAAGTAGAAGAAATGAGCACATGATACACCGGCCCGGGGTCACATGGTACACCGGGCCGGGATCACATGGTGCAGCGGTCCGGGATCGTAGTACCAACGGGCCTGGGGTTACGGCAGTATGGACAGCCGTGTCTCTTTTCTAACACCACGCTCAGCGCTCACACACTGATGCTGCCAGAAGTAATGCGGACAAGGAGAATGACGGCCGACAAGCGGGACAGCAGTCTGCGGAAGGTGGGTATTTCCCCACATCTAATATCTATCAATCCGTCACTACTTCAGAGGAGCTCAAGCAGCTGCGGGACCGCACCACTCACCTCAAACAGCTTTGCCGCTCGAACGGTCTCTCAGTCTCGGCGGCTGTCAACAGCGTTCCTGACCGCTCCATCCACCATCCCAGTAACATCACGAAGGATACTGGCGTCGCCGAAATTCGGGATCACATGGCAATGAGCATAAACGAGCCTGGCTCAATTGTCGTGTGCGTGTCTTTTCTTCACCTGCTTCTTCAACTTACATCTTTACAACTAGGAATCGGTCCGAAACAACCTGACGTTCGACTTCGACGTAGATTACGCCAGCCAGGAGAAGTTGAAGGTCACGAATTGCCTTCAAGTGGTACGTGATTTACAATTTAGCTTCCTGCTGTTCGTAACTCTCTTTAGATCGAGTACGAAGCTGCACTATTCAAGCGGTTCAAGGGCTCATGGGGGGCGGAGTACATCCTCCGCGAGGTCTGGTCGAACCATAACGAATGGCTCGACAAGACGAAGCAAGATCTACCTGTCGACAACTCCAACACTCGCAACGATGAAGACGACGACCCGCGATCATCTGATGGCGTCGGATCGCACCGAGGACAAGGAGCAGCAGGGTAATGGGGGGGACGATGGCTCAGACTTGAACAACCGCGGTGCGTTGTCGTCTATTCTTATTTTGATCATCGAACTGAAGCTGCTTAAGCAAACACAAACATGCACGCCCATTGGCCCGAGCGAGGACGAAGATGAGGCCACGGCGGCTGGGCCAGCGAAGAGGCGCTGCACTGCCGTTAGTACCCCGCAGCAGCGCGGCCACGGCCGCAGCTGTGGTATTAGTATGCAGCGCTGATGTGTAGTATACGTAGTACAACCCGAATATCATATGCTTTTAATTTTAATTTCGGTCCAAGTTTCTATGATTTTTGGTATCAAAGCGTCTTGTATTAACACGGACAACCGACTCTGAGCGAAAATTAATGACATAGGCCATGAAACTGGCACATTAAAACGTCAAATTTGCACATGATTTGCGAATGCGCACTTCAAGGATAGTTCCATGATTTTTAAAGTACATGGCTCGATATTCATGAGTTCGGGACATGAAAATTGGGGTACCTGGGGACATGAAATTCGGGTCCCTCCAGTCTCACAGTGTGTTCCGGTAATAGGCGAACATCAGTCATTTGACATTTTGATTGCCGTGTTTCACGCGTTTTTTGCCATTTGCGTAGTGCAGTTCAACTGTTTTTCTGGAACACACGACCAAAAGACTTCAGTCCGGAACGGTGAAGTGGTTTAAAATAGCGCACCTTTTGGCGGCTGCCCAGGGTTCGAATCCCTGTTCCGGTCCTGACTGGAGGCGGAAAAATGATAAGTTTTTACATAAGTTGGAGTGGGTATATTCTTTTAGGCCCAGTCGCGTGTCATGCTGGCCAACTTGGAGAGAATTTGTTTTATAGTACATTTTCAAAGAATGAATCGGGAACCCAAGTCTTATTTTAGTATTTACATATCCCAGGTTGTTTTACCAGTCACACAGCAGTACATGTTGTCTCTGCACGACCTATAATGGCACTGAAATTGACCCCAGGTGCGGCGGCGGCTCCGGGGTGGCGACAGTTATGTGATTGCAGAATCGGCGGCGCATGTTGCTAGCACTGTTGACGTTGAGTGCGCGCCCGCACGGGGGGAGCAGGCAGCGGCTGCGGAACACTGGCTCACGCGACCAACGCTAATCAGAAGTAACTATCGACGGGACGACAGAGTCTTTGATGAAACAAGCCACATGAGACGGCGCGGTATCATATCGGGAACCCAGTATAGTAGAGAATGTCGACCATCAGGAGTGGCGAAGGAAGAAAATAAGGACGGGAAGGATCGTGATGGATGGCTCAGCGCAGTGCCTAAGTATCTGAGTACACCCGATCTCGCATGGCCAGCTGTCGGTGACAGACTTGTGCTCATTCAGCAGACAAATACGAAGGCGGTGGCGAATCTTCGCGGACTTGATCGTTGTGTCCGTGTACACGCTCGTAGACTCGAAGCATGCGCGCGAGCTCCGGGATCGTGAGGCCGGATATACCTTCAGCCGGCGTGTTCTCCTCGTCTGCCGCAAGTGCGGTGCTCGGTTCATATCGTAAACGGGGGCGGTGGGTGGCTGCGGAGGACGGCTCATTGGCATCCGGAGTGCCTTTTCGTCGCAAAGGCACCGCCCACAACGGTTGAGGGGCGAAATTCTCTCCCGTATCGACCCCCTGATTGTGCGTGGACCCGGAAGCGTCGTTAGGCTCCGGAGCCGATACGCCGTTGGTGAAGGCACGCGGCGTGATTCCGTCCTCCATGCTGGACAGCCTTCTCCGCCGCCGTCGGTAAAGAACACACAGCGCGACGACGGTCCCCAGCACCACGAGTCCTCCCACAACGCCCCCCACGATGGGCCCTGTTCTCACTGATGATGGTTTTGAGGTCGGGGCGGATGCACTACCAGACGCTGAAGGTTCAACTGGAAGAGGGCATGTGAGCCAATAGTATCGAGATAGATCAATCGAATGCACCTGAACTTGTGGGCGTCGGCGGCCCCACGGTCAACGCAACTGGAAGACGTGTTGGAATAAATCAATTGATTATGCATGCCCCTTGCATACCTGATTTTGTGGGCGTCGGGGGTGCAGTCACCGCAGCTGCAAGACGTGTTGGTATGCAATTGTCATGCATGCCCCTTGCATACCTGAGCTTGTGGGTGTCGGGGACGCAGTCAACGCGGCTGGATGACCTGGATGACGTGTTGGTCTAAGCCAATTGATCATGCATGCCCCTTGCATACCTGAGTCTATAGGTGTCGAGGATACAGCCGCCGCAACTGGAAGAAGTGTATTGGCATCGGTTAATTTGTCATGCGTAACCTTGTCATACCTGCGTTAGGCGGCACAGTCGACGAAACTTGAAAAACCAACGGCGTCGGCGGGCCGCTTGCTAAGGTTATTGCACTTTCATGCAAAATTTGAATACAGTCCCCGAATGCCGAATTAATCAGGGTGCATGCGATAGTCAAACTGTTTTGATTCTGCTCCCCGAAAAACGGCTCGAACCATCCCGAGGCGGAAGCAACGATCGTGCCGACCGGAGCTAGAAGTTCTCCATAAGTATTTATGCATGGTGCAGGACGTTATCACTCACCTGTGAGTTGGATCGCCTCCGTCGTCAAAAAACCATCGTCATCTGTAGTCGTGACAGCCGCTGGGTGGACCACTTCTATGACGTACGTCGTCGCCACACCGCCGGAAGCTGTGCCCAGCGGTATGAGCGGGGTGCCAGTCCCGGGCAGCACGGCGGGATGTCCAAATTGCCACAGTGTAACCGCAGTCACCGGGTCCAAGTCTCCCGTTTGGGCATACGTATCTGCGAGGACAACTGAATATTTCGCAATATGACGGACAAAGGACGCACCCGCGAGAAATGCTATGAGCAAACACCAGAGTCTAGACATCGAGCGTTTGCACATTATCGGTCCTCGAATCGCGCCGACACAACTTTGCAAGTACAATTCCAGTTCCCGCCTGGGCGTTGAAGGCAGTCAGAGAGTCGACAGATCGCTTGTGCCATGGCATATACGAGACGTATATACATTGGAAAGCTATGGTTGGCGGAAGAGAATCAGATCATCTCGCAGCGGCGGTGCTACGGTCACCGTAGCTTCGCAACCCACTGGCAGCAGTAACGCAAATATGTATCACACGGTGCGGAATGCCGTTCGATAAGGGCCTCGGGAATTCGCCGTGGCAAGGCAGGACCCCGGTTTATACCCTAAGATGTAGGATACCGGAATCCGGACAAATTTTTGAAAAATGGCCAGTAGGTGTGATCAGAATCCGGACAAAAATGACCCTCGAGCCGGATGACTTGGATCTCAAGTCCGGACAAGATGGCAGGCGCAGAAGACGTTGGATACCGAATCCGGACAATAAATCTTTATGTTGCCCTCGTCCCCCTCTGCCATCAGTGGCTAAAAGCCACTGATAATCAATGTGCTACACTGCTGGACATGCCACGCAGACCGAGAATACTAATTCTGCCACCAATCGAAAATATTTTAACTCTAAGTTTACTCTCTCCTACAAACTACTTGAACTGTTACTCTATGCATACGACATATGGATGACTACATTATCAAAGATGAAGTCTTCACCTACAGTGCCATAATCCAGCGACCGATGCTTCAAGGACAGGACGTACCATTTTGTACCATTGTGTTGCCGTCGAAGTTGAGCGTGTCCACCGCATGCCACCGGAAATCGAGTTCCCTCGCCATAATCCATTACAACCGCCTGCGGGTTTTATATGCACTGCAGTTTTCCTGTGTGGAACAATTATTTTAATTTATTGTGACACTTCTACGCTATGGTAAGATTTTTTCGGAACTGCTCTAGACAACTAGGGATTTTTCTGCGATTTTCTGGCTGATTTTGGCGATTTTTTGAGGTTTGACCCTAAGTCCGGACAAGATTTGGAGAGAAATTTGAGGTCTGATACCAATCCGGACAAAATTTCGACAAGTGCAAAACGTGAAGTCCGGACAAGATTTGGCCAGGACGGATTTTCGTATCCTACCTCTTGGGGTATAAACCGGGGTCCTGGCAAGGCGTGGCGTGGCGTGGCGTGGCGTGCAAGCGTGACGTGCAAGCGTGGCAGTGCTGGCGTGCAAGCGCCAAAATTCCTTTGTGTGAAAATTGTGGCCGGTTGTGATAAACACACTCTTGAACTTCAAGTGCAACACCATCTGATGCACTGGCAACACGGTGTTTCATCAGGCCGAGCGTGAGCGGCGACACCCCAAATGCGGATGTGTCGGACAAGTGACAAACCGAAGCTAGCCGCACCTGTCGCCCTGGACCATCCGGGAGCTACACAAGGACAGAATAGAGAGAGCTTGTTGGTTCCACAACTTGACAAGTGGGTGCCCAGGCCACTGTCGGCTCAATCCCCAGCATAGTCCGATATGGCCGAGAGGTCAAGGCTTGGGTCGCCGTTGGCCTGTACATATATTGTGTAAAATCTAGTAAGTATCTGGATAGATAAAGGAGATGGTGCTCAATGTACTTGTGGTCAGGTGCCTGAGTCAGCCTGACCCTCTGTGTATTGCGAACGACGAGTTGCGAAGCGGCGGCACGAGTGTCACGCAGTCACGTGGTCGTTTTGGTGCCCGAATACTTGTTGCTCTTGAGCACAAACATCGAGAGAGGCAAAATCTATGTTGGGAATGATAGATAGTCAGTGTGGTAATGGTTAGAGTGGATAAAATTGATATGTTAGTAAATAAAATTTCCCGGGCGCCGTGAGGAACTCGTGCGTAGCGTGTTGAACGCAGATAACGACGAGTGCGCATTGTGCGCAAAGTAGTGCTTCCACAGCGGAGAGTGTCGCATCAGGGATCAACTAATTCAACGCATGTTCAGCTCTGAACAAACTCTGACCAAGACATTTTCGGTGTTTTCTGAACACAAAGGGCAGCCATCCAAGACTCGCTCCATGGATCCAGATGCACCTGGCACGCCCGGCGTCTCTGGCACGGCAAGGCATGCTAGTGCAAGGCACTGCACGCTAATGCCACGTCAGTGCACGCTAACGCCACGCCAGTGCACGCTAACGCCACGCGGCCCACGCCAGTGCACGCTAGCGGTCCGCGTTAGCGTGCATTAGCGTGCACTGGCGTGGCGTTAGCGTGCACTAGCGTGCAGAGGCGTGCAGGTCCACAAGTCCATTATATGACAATCTGACAATACTGGAATGCTTTTTTCAGTCTTAGGCATCTTTCTGAACTGCAATTGACTTTTTCTATTTTTTAGGATTTGACTGAATTTTCAATCTGTCACGCACTCGGTTAAATCATCTCATTCAGCAAGACACTGGCTTATTCCACAGCAAATAAATTGGACGAGTCACCAAAGCTACTGATGGTATGGTGCCATAAGATAAGTGATTTATTCTTGTTTAAGTCCACTCCAAGACATCCTTTTCGTCGCTTTCACCGTGACAGTGCCATCAGAATGTGACAATCCCAGTGAACTCAACAATGTGAAAAATAAAAATGACTTGTATTTCTCATGCAGAGGACAGAGAAGTTTTTCTCTTAGACCATGCAGCCCCTTTTGTATTTTATTGCCTAGCAGGATAAATTGTTTGATTCATTTTCTGACACGCTAGCACATGGCACGCTCGCACGCCTCGGCACGCCTTGCCACAGCGAAAAATGGTGCCCCATTTAAAAGCTTATCTATGTCTCTGGTGTATCATATGGGGCTTATGAGCCCATGGCAAGACTATCGTCTCCTTGCTTTGACCGGTGAAATACT